TGCTCACAGCACTGTCTCCCTTCACAAGGAGAGTTTTGGTTTTGGACGGCAGAAGCCCCACCCCTGACTCACAGGGAAGACCAGCCCCATTTCCAAGAAGCACACTTGGGGGGGAAAGACGTGGAACAGCCGACGGAGAGGCTGGCAACGGAGCTAGTGGGCCGGGCCTCAACTCTCCCGCCAGGCAGCCCCGTGTGGAGTTACTCTAGAAATCCGTCATGGCTCTGATGAATGTGCCCGAACCTCGAGTGCACTGTGGGCTCCCCTCCCCACATAGTCTTGGCTCAGTCAGTGCTGCTCACGGCCTTCACAGAGGAGAGTCCCAAGGTGGGAGCTGCGCATCATTTCACACCAAAACCCTTTCACAGATTAACGTGCTACAGGATGTGCCGCCTGGAGCCCTGCCGGACTGTGGTAAACACAACGCAACTAAGAACTCGGCGCTCTCTGCGTTCTCCAACCTCCGGGGGTGTCCGAAGCAAGGTACACTAGCTGCTGCCTCCTGCAGGGACTCGGTTTGCTCGAGGGTGGTGGCAGCGGCAGGCCAAGAGACGATGCCTGTCGCCACTCACACCTGGTGGTGTGTTGGCACCCTCCCCACTGTGCCACCCTCCCACCCTCCCTTTGAACCAACACTCTACGCAAAAGGATTGCAGCAGGAAACCACTGGGCCCCCTGTACACACGTCTTCCTCAAGAACTGGCACGTGCCACGTTCGTGGCGCAAAGGGGAATGGCGAATTCACCAGCTTTTTGCATCCGCCTTGGCTCCTGGGCAGCCAGCTGGTGCAGACGTTTCCTTGCAAGAGCCGATACGCAAAACACAGAATTGTGTTAAATTTCAAAAATAGTTCAGGGCAAAGCAGCGGACCGGGTAAGGCGGCGGAGCTGACTGGCGTTGCTTGCAGAAGAGCGACCAAGTTGGCTCGTAATCAGCGTGGTGAGTTTGATGAGGCTCCGTCCGTGATTTGGGGAGGGGGCCAGACGCAGGAGACAAGATTTAGCCTGTCGAGGAGGACAGGTGTGCCTAAAATTGCAGACAATCGGCAGCTTCCCTGGACTTTCCCGGAGCACGTTTTGCTAACCGGGAGAAGAGAAGGAAGCTGTGATGGGGTGCAAAGAAGAGGCGTGGCATTCTATGTCTTCGGTGGTTTTAATCTACGACTTGTTTGTTCGAGCTCCTTTGTCAGGTGATTCCCTAGGCCTCTCCTGGCTGGGGGGCGGGGGCGGCGAAGGGACGAAAGAAGCACTTCTGTACCCTTTCTCGACTGAGGCACAACAGTTGCATCAGCTCCGCTCTTAGTGCCTTCACAATAAGGCTGGCTCACTGCCCCACCCACTCACCCCCGGCTTAGCAATCTCACACGAAAAAACACCGGTCAGGGACACGAGCGGCGCCATCTTCAGTGCGGCGCTAGCCCCTCTTCACGTATCTAACCGGCCCGTCCTCTCCTTGGGGGAAAAAAAAGGACACCAAATGCAGAGAGTTCAGCCCAAAACTTGGGAGTGTCTATTCACTCCCTGACCTGGCCGGCAGAAGGGCAGCGCTCGAACCCAAACCTGCCAGGCCTGGTTCTGCTCTTGTGGCCGTCTTAATTGAAGCCGAGTGGTTTCGGGGTTTGTTTGTTTTTTGTCTTCCCACTCTGTGCTAAGACTGCGTTGTGTTTCAACACCTTTAAGAGATGAGCCCGTCTCTCAAGGAGCCATGCAGACGCCTGCAAAGCAAAGTGGTTAGAATACACAGGACGCGTGTCACTTTTGTACCGTTTTGCTGAAATCATTTTACTAGAATTAAAAAAAAACCCGTTTACAATCCTTGCGTATCAGCCGTCTTAATTAGTACAGTACTTGAAGCTGAGCGGTTTTGGGGGGGGGGGTTGTCTTCCCACTTTCTGCTAAGACTGGGTTGTGTTTCAACCCTTTAAGAGACGAGCCCATCTCTCAAGGACCTATGCAGACGCCTGCAAAGCAAAGTGGTTAGAATACACAGTACGCGTGTCACTTTCATACTGTTTGGCTGAAATCGTTTTACTGCAGTTAAAAACAAAACAAAACCCTGTTTACAAGCCAGCGTTCCAAACTGTGTCAAAGAGAGTTCCGATCACGTGAAACCCAGGCTTGAAAGTTGCTCAGAGCGGAGCAGAAGCCTCCGCTGTGTCAGGTTTTTCCAGAAGCTCTCTCGTAGGGGACGCGGCCCATCAACAGACCCACCAGGGCTGTGCAACAGGGTCGGAAACAGCCTCCAGTCAGAGAGGGCCGCGTGGGACGCTGTCACCACGGAGTATTCCCCATCATGCTTCAGCCGAAGTGAAGGAAGCAACAGCCACCGGCGAGTAGAAACTGACAGCCCTTGACGCTGACCCACATGCAGTGTTGCTAAACCAGCAAGAGCTTCACCGTCACGGCACTGTGGCCGTATAATCTCAGTGCCACCGTAGCACCTGCGGCTCTCGGGCTCAGCCAATGATTTGCTCCCATTTCATTCAGAGGAGAAATCCAGGGACCGGCAGCCAGGAGATACTAACAGTGGGTGTGCTGCCTTCAGAGCCCGTGTGTGTATTAAGTGCTGCCTAGTTACTTCCGACCCATGGCCACTCTGTGGATTAACGACCTCTGAAATGTCCTGTCATTAACAGCCTGGTTTGGGTCTTGCAGACGGAGGGACACAGCTTCCTTGATCGAGCCTGCCCGTCCCATTTAGAGTCTAGCATGATTGTGAGCCAGTTTGGTGTAGTGGCCAACTGCGCGGACTCTAATCTGGGAGAACTGGGTTTGATTCCCCACTCCTCCGCTTGCAGCTGCTGGATGACCCTGGGCAAGCCATAGTTCTGTCAGAGCTGTCCTTGAAAAAAGAGCAGTTTCTGTTAGAGCTCTCTCAGCCCCACCTACCACACAGGAAGTGTTCCCTCTAAGCTGAGTTAGTGTGACCTAGCTCACAGTTTTTTAGCCTCCAGCTCACACATTTTTGTCTCAACTCAGGAAGGATGAACTAATTTATGCAACAGCCAAATCATTTGCTCACAACTTAAATGCCAGTAGCTCAGGAAGTAGAATTTTTGCTCATAAGACTCCCCAGCTTAGAGGGAGCATTGCTCACAATGTGTCTGTTGTGGGGAGGGGAAGGGAAAGGAGTTTGTCAGCCGCTCTGAGACTCCTTCGGGTAGTGAAGGGTGGGGTATAAATCCAATCTCTTCTTCTTTTTTTCCAGGGACTCTTCTCATAATATGACCAAAAGTACAGTAGTCTCAGTTGGGTCATATTAGCTTCCAGGGAAAGTTAAGGCCAGGGTTCCCTCTAAGCTGAGTTAGCGTGAGCTAGCTCACAGTTTTTTAGCCTCCAGCTCACACATTTTTGTCTCCGCTCAGGAAGGACGGCTCCGGAGCAAACTAATTGATGCAGCAGCCAAATGGCTCGCTCACAACTTTAAGGCCAGTAGCTCACACAGTAGAATTTTTGTTCATAAGACTCCACGGCTTAGAGAGGTAGCATCGGTTGAGGCTTGATTTGGTCTGGAACCCACTGGTCTGAATTTCTTGCAGTCCGTGGTCTCCGTAAAACTCTCTCCCAATACCACTCCTCTAGCCTTCACTTTGATTCATTTCCTTCCAAGACACGCGCACAGGCTGCTGTGGAAGCTGGGACCCAATGCCCCAGCAACCAGGCCACACCCTCAGTAGGAAGAAATCCACATCCCAGATACAGGAAGAAGAGAGGGAAAGTGGATGCTTTTCCTGTTTGCTTACTTTTCGGGTCAGGCCTGAGAGGTAGTCGGCTAAATTAGAACCCGGATCGGTCACGGAGGAACGGGGCCACGTCCACAAGGTTGTGGCTCAACTCACTGTTCGGTATCACCCACCGGACCCTGTTTCCAGTCAAGTTTCCATAAGAACAGAAGAGGAGCCAATGTTGGATCTATACCTTGTGGCTAATAGCCACTGATGGACCTCTGCTCCATATAAGAACATAAGAGAAGCCAGTGTTGGATCAGGCCAATGGCCCATCCAATCCAGCACTCTGTGTCACACAGTGGCCAAAAATACCAGGTGCCATCAGGAGGTCCAGCAGTGGGGCCAGGACACTAGAAGCCCCCCACTGTTGCCCTCCCCCCCAAGCACCAAGAAGACAGAGCATCCCTTGCCCCAGCCTGAGAGTTCCTGTCTATACCTTGTGGTGAATAGCCACTGAGGGACCTCTGCTCCATATGCTTATCTAATTCCCTCTTGCAGCCATCCGTGCTTGTAGCTGCCACCACCTCCTGTGGCAGTGAATCCCATGTGTTCCATCACTCTTTGGGTGAAGGACTTCCTTTTATCGGTTCTAACCCGATCGCTCAGCAATTTCATGGAGTGCCCACAAAGATAAGCAAGACAGGAGCCAACGAACTTGCCGCGAACGGCTCTCGGTCAGTTGTGCTTCGGCCTCTTGAGTCAAGTTTTTAAGTACCAGAGTTCAAAATGATTCTTCCAGGGAGGCCAAAGCTTTCATTTATGCCCCGTCTCCAATGCAAGCTCCCCTTCCCCATGGGGTGGGTGAGGCTGCTCCTTAGACCAGAGGTGTCAAACATGTGGCCCGGGGGCCGGATCAGGCCCTCAGAGGGCTGCAATCCAGCCCGCAAGGCCCTGGCTGTTTCCTGCTTCCGTTTCCAGTTCTGCTGCTGCTGCTCCATCACAGCTTACTTTACCAGACTCCCTCAATTGCACAGGAGAGGTCAATAAGCAAGCCTCTCCGGTGCGATTGAGAGTCTGGTAAAGCACTGGCATTACATTTTTAATGTTTTATTTAAAGTTTAAAAAATCTTTAACTGTGTTTGTCTGTATCCTTCGTAAAGTTTGTATCTCCACTACCTGGCATTACATTTGATGACACACATGGCCCGGCCCGACAAGGTCTCATTTATGCCAGCTCCGGCCCTCATAACAAATGAGTTCGACACCCCTGCCTTACACCTTTAATCACTGAAGCCACCCCCCACCAAAGTTTCCAACTCAAGAGTTCTCTAAGGAACCGCAGCGTGCCAGAACATCAGCTCCTTAACTAAGGGGGCTTGGAAAGTCTGGCTGCTGACGAAGTCGTAATAGCTCTTCTTCCCCTCTTTGGCTTATTGCCGGTGCCAGAGGAAAAGCACTGGCAAAAGAGACAAGGGGCCAGTTTGGTGTAGTGGTGAAGTGCACGGACTCTAATCTGGGAGAACCGGGTTTGATTCCCCACTCCTCCACTTTCACCTGGCTGGATGATCTTGGGCAAGCCGTAGTTCTGATAAGAGCTGTCCTTGAAAAAGAGCCGTTTCTGTCAAGAGCTCTCTCAGCCCCACCTACCTCACAGGGTGTCTGTTTCCGGCACGAAGGAAACCCGGCCGCTACCTCATAGAGCACGTCCCCGAGTACGTGTCAATAGGGCAGGTCTCCAGGAGAGGCCACCGCTGAGGCCATCGAAGCAAATATGTTCCGACACAGCTGGTTCTCCCGCGCCGCCCGGGATAAGCCAGGCGATGGCCTCCACGCTCGGAATACCCCCGCACCTGGCAGAGCGTCTGAGCTCTTATAGAGGCGGGGCTACCTGTGAGAGACAGCCCGGCACCCAGTGAGAGCAGGAGACAGGGTGGAGGGGAGGATAAAAAGGGGAACAGAGAGGGAGACCGGGGAGGAAGAAGAGCGGAGCAGAGGACGGAGATGGGCTCACCTCCGGTCGAAGAGAGAGACGACGGGACAGGCGTCTCCACTGGCTCTTGCGGGCGCATTCTGAGGTCTCCCGTTCCCCTTTAAAGGGGTAACATTAGTGCGGGACGGCAACTGGGGGTAGGGATTCCCCCCCCCCCGGAGTGGGCTAGGGTGCCACACTCTCCTCGTCTTCTTTTCAGAGAATTCTTGGAGATTTCATCAGCTTTAACCGTCTCAGACTCGGGGATTTTCTCAAACACAAGATCCAGACGCCACTGGCTCCATTTTAAAGTTTTATTAGTATCCCTTTCTGCAGAACCAAAATACTTAGCAAGTTACTTCAGAGATTCATCGACTGCTTAATATCTTATGCATTTAGATCTTGAACCATGTACAACATAATACACTGCTCTTTTTTTTTTACTCTCAAAATCAAACCAAAGGTAGGATTCCTATTACTAGATGTTAATAGATTAATGTAACTATAAGGAGTGTAAAGGGGGGGGGAGATATGGAAACAATGCGGTGGATATTAAAAAGAAAGTGCATGAAAGGGAGGACTTCTCGTTTCCACACTGTTATCAGGTCGGCTGATTCTTCAGGAGAGCTTCCGCTTTCGGGTAAATTTTAAGAAGGCCTGGGGGAGGACGGGAGGGCCGAGAGGTTTGCAGGGTCTCCCCACCCCCGGGCCCAGGTTTAGAGAGTCGCCATTGGGCAAAGGGGGCTCTAATCGAGGGGCTTCACAGCTTACCTGTGCTGACGTTTTGGTTTCCCCGTTCCAAGAACCAGAACGCTGAAGGAAGAGCTACGGCTTCTCTCTATGCATAGCGGCAGTTTCGGAACCAGTGTTTTCACTAACTTTCAGATCCCACCCCACCCACCCCCAAACAAAACTGAAAAATCCCATTGCACTCAAGGTAGACGTTTGTTAATCTCGACTGAGAATCCGTGTTTCAGTACAAGCAGAGACGCACGACGAAAGCAGCTTCGAGGGACCAAAGGAACTGTCCGTTTCAGAGCCAAGGGGATCGTTTCTCTGGCCGAGTCCAGTGCAAGAGGTACTGGGGGGGGGGGGGGGGGGGAAGGGGGGGGAAATTAACAACTAGCCTGGCCTGGCTATGTACAACTCCAGTCAAGGTTCGCTGTGGCCTAGCCAAAAAAAAAAGTTGGGGGGGAGTACTCGGGAAAGGACACTTAGACTTTAATTGAAGGGTTGGGCTCTCTCCACTGGGAACGGCCCGCTTGGGTGGCGGTGTGCCGATGGAGCAGCTCTCCCAGATCCCGGAAAGGTGGGATTTTTTGCGGCCTACTCCTTTCCACGCCCACAGAGAGAGAGCCACGTGATGATGGCGAAAGGGTCTAGCTGGCAGGGCCGGGGGGGCAGGGCTCCTCTGTGCCCCCTTCAGCTGCCTCCCGCCCGGGCCATTAGATCTTCCAGCGCATTGTCCTGGTCGTTGTGATGCAATAATAAAACCTCTTTAATGTCTTTCAGTTCAAAGCCCATCTCTTTAAATTTACTCATTAGCTGGAGAAGCGCGGCTGTCTGGGAAAAAAACGGGGGGGGGGGGGGGAGAAGGCTAGGGAAGGAAGGCATCGTTAAAAGTTTTCTAGAGAGCGATTCACACACACACACCAACAAAAGCTTGCTTAGAGCCGGCTAGGAATCTGGATTCCTCTATCAAGGAGTGGCCATTGAAGAGGAGGCATCTGCTTGGCAGGCAGAAAGTCCCAGGTTCAATCCCCAACATCTCCAATAAATAGGATCAGGTAGTATGCGACGTGAAAGACCTCAACTCGAGACCCTGGAGAGCTGCTGCCATTCTGATTAGACAATACTGACCTTGATGGATCAGTAGAAGAGAAATAGAAGAGACTGGATTTATACCCCGCCCTTCACTACCGAAAGGAGTCTCAGAGTGGCTTACAAATCTCCTTTCCCTTCCCCTCCCCACAACAGACACCCTGCGAGGTAGGTGGGGCTGAGAGAGCTCTGTCGAGGACTGCTCACGAGAGAACAGCTCTGAGAGTACTTGTAACTGACCCAAGGTCACCCAGCTGGCTGCATGTGGAGGAGTGGGGAATCATAAAATCATAGAATGTTAGAGTTGGAAGGAACCTTGCAGGTCATCTAGTCCAACCCCCTGCACCCTGCAGGAGCATAGGCGAAAGAGAACCCTACAACATACCCGAAAGATAGTCGTTTAGCCTCCACTTGAAAACATCCAGCGAAGGAGCATCCACCACCTCCCGAGGCAGACTATTCCACTCCTCAACCACTCTGACAGTTAGGAAGTTTCTCCTGATATTTAGCCAGTAATGACTCCCTTGTCAGACCCGGTTCTTCCAGTTAACGTCTACACACTTAACCACTACACCAAACTGGCTGTGTGTGTGTGTGTGTGTGTGTGTGTGTGTGTGTGTAGGGCAAGCTCAGACAGTTTCCAAGGGGAGGGGAAGATTCCCTTGAGACAGGCATCCCCAATCTCTTTGAGCCCGCAGGCACCTTTGGAATTCTGACCCAGTGGAGGGTGCAGCCACGAAATGTTTACGGCAGCTGACCATCAGTCACACAGTGATGATCCTTGTGCGGAGTCGGCAGCTGCTCCCAAAGCAAAAGATTTAAAAACCGGTAGAGCCGATCAAATCTCCAGTGCTCAACCAGAAACCTTCCTGGCCAAAAGGCCCACCTGGGCCTCCCCACTTTCTAAATGCCCTTGGTGGACACCGCGTTGGGGACCCCTGCCCCAGGAAGTCAGCTTGAAGGCTGGTGACCAAGAGCCCAAGTTCTGTGTTCTGCATACGCACGACGCTTTCTGAAGATGGCACCGCAGGAGATTCTTTAAGGCCACGTTTGAAACTCTTAAAAAGGACATCTTCAGGAGTTGTTGTTTAGTTGCAGTCAAGTCCGACTCTTCGCGACCCCACGGGCCACCTCACGCCAGGTCCTCCTGTCCTCCGGACTTCGCTTAATTTCATGTCCGTTGCACCAATAACACCGTCTGACCATCTCATCCTTTGCCGTCCCCTTCATCTTTGACCTTCAGTCTTTCCCAGCATCAGGGTCTTCTTCGGTGAGAGCTCCCTTCTCGTTGGGTGGCCAAAGTATTTCAGCTTCAGGACCTGGCAGCCTACTCATAGGACAGCATCACCCCTGTGGGATCTGGTCACCCAACTGGAGGCCTCTGGGTCTAAACAGAGTGAACGAGCCCACCTTGAACCACGACTAGCTTGGAATAGCCAGCGGCCTCCTTTTTCTACTGCCACACCGCAGGTGGTCTCCTGAAACGCCTATTTTGGTGATGCAGGCTGTTTAGAACCTACAGCGGTGTCTCCAATGCGGTGCCTGCGGGCGCTATAGCACACGCCAACACCTTCCCTGGCACCCGCCAAGTGCTTTTAGAATGTGAGTGGGGCCAGGTGAGGCTCTTATCCAGCAGGGCTTCTGATCGGCCACTGGAGACACGGTCAGCCGTACAGATTTTTTTTTTTTTAAGTTCCATCACCAGTAGCTGCCCCCGCAGCACAAGAACCTCCGCTGCATTACTGAATGTCGGCTCCATGTGTGCTGAATGTCGGCTCCAGGTGTGCGACACGACAACAACAATCTGTCTGTTTCAGAATGCATCCTGCTAAACAGAACTCCCAACTGAAATGTTGAAGAGTTACTATTACAGGCAGGGGTCGTTTCCTGCGGGAGCGCACAGGAGCAGAGCTCCGGTAGTAAGGAGCCCAGGGGGCGGGCACATGCAACAAGCACTGCCCCCTGCCCCCAGCAGCCCTCAGTCAGAGCAAGACGCAGCCAGGTAAGTTGCAGAGCCCCCCCCCCCCCCCGCCCTTCCCCCAGCCTTCAGATACAAGCTATCCCTCCTCTTTGAGGGCAGATCTGTGCATTCCCCTCCCCCCATAGCTAGCAATCCAAAACAGTCCAGTGGCACCTTTAAGACCAAGTTTTATTCAGGTACAAGCTCTCCCTCCTCTGTGAGGACAGATCTGCACATGTCCCCCCCAGTAGCTAGCAGTCCAAAACAGTCCAGTGGAGCCTGGGTGTTGCCTTCTGACACACTTCCGGTGATATCAGGGGGTGTGGCATATGCAAATGAGTTATGCTAATGAGCTCCTGCACCTCTTTTTCTACAAAATGGCCCCTGATTACAGGTATGGCGGCCCCACTCCCTGACGTTGGACGGCTGGTTTTGCCTCTGGGGGCAGCCATTTGGCAGGTGCAGCAACCGCCCTGTGCCAGAATTCCAAAGGCTGGTTGTTGTCGATTTTCCGGGCTGTGTGGCCGTGGTCTTGGCATTGTAGGACCTGACGTTTCGCCAGCAGCTCTGACTGGCATCCTCAGAGGTATAACACAGAGAGATGGAGTACTCTCTGTGTCAAAGGTGTTTGCAGGCTCAAAAGGGTTGGGGGCAGTGTTCCCACTAAGCTGAGTTAGTGTGAGTTAGCTCACAGTTTTTTAGCCTCCAGCTCACACACACATTTTTGTCACAGCTCAGGAAGGAAAGCTCCAGAGCACACTAATTTACGCAGCAGCCAAATCGCTCGCTCACAGCTTTAATGCCAGGAGCTCACAAAGTAGAATTTTTGCTCACGAGACTCCACAGCTTAGAGGGAGCATTGTTGGGGGCCCCTGACCGATGGAGCGGGGCCGTCCCTTCCCAAGGGACTTCTGTGACAAAAGACACCCGCTGCTCCCACACGGCCTGCTGAGGAGGTCGGCCCCTAGGGCTTTCTACAGAGTCTCTGACGACCAAGATGTGAACCCATCGAGAGAGAGAAAACGGGATTGTACAATTGGATGGAAAAGGAATAAATGACTCTAAGATGCATGTATAACAGAAAACTAATGTATAAAAACCAATAAATAAAATATTTTTTTAAAAAAGAGAGAGAAAACCGGACTGCGAATTCCTAAGAAACTCTCGGGTGCAAACATCCACCGGTTTCTCTCTCCCTTCCTACACTAACCAGAAGCGGAAGTCAAGTGGTGAAGATTCCAGGGGCAGTTTATTGGACCTGGAGCACGCAGAGCTGAAGGCCAGCCACTCCCGAACACGGGCTCATACAGGTCAAGGATTAAGGCGATCGCTTCTGGTATTCAGAATGCAAGGGCCACTCTGACAACGGCACCAGACCACAAGAGCAAGTCCAGCGGGGGAATGTGGCGCCGACTCACAGAGCAATTCTACAGCTCCATGGCCAGGGCGACACACGCGGCACGAAAACCCTTACCTCCTCCTCCTCCGAACACTGGTGCATTTCCAGAGCAGCTTCTACAAGGAGCGGATCGAAGCCCTTCTCGCAGAGCTGGCCGTGGACAAACAGGTAGTCGAGAACCTGCCAGGAGGACACAAGAGAGGAACTGAGGCACCTCCTCCGCATGCGTTACCGGGCTCAGCACCATCCCAGTGGCAGAGCTTTTCTGAGCTACCCAGACAAAGATTCTCGACCAGTGTTCCCTCTAAGCTGAGTTAGTGTGAGCTATCTCACAGGTTTTTAGCCTCTGGCTCACACATATTTGTCTTCGCTCAGGAAGGAGGGCTCCAGAGCAAACTGATTGATGCAGGAGCCAAATTGCTGGCTCACGACTTTAATGCCAGTGGCTCAGAGAGCAGAATTTTTGTTCACAAGACCCCACAGCTTAGACAGCGCATTGGTCTCGACCGCAGACCCTCCCACGCGACACACTTCATCTGCCTAACCTCCAACCAGTGTTCCCTCTAAGCTGAATTAGTGTGAGCTAGCTCACAGGTTTTTAGCCTCCGGCTCACGCGTTTTTGTCTCCGCTCAGGAAGGAGGGCTCCAGAGCAAACTAATTTATGCAGTGGCCAAATCGCTGGCTCACAACTTTAATGCCAGTAGCTCACAGAGTAGAATTCTTTCTCACAAGACTCCACAGCTTAGAGGGAGCATTGCCTCCAGCCCAAGCTTCTTGGACTGTGCGTCTGACCTTCTCAGACTTCTAAACCGGAGCCTCACAGCTGGTTTTGAAGGATCTCTTTTGCACTGACCTTCTAAACGCCCCAGACGGCGTCATTCTGTGTGTGCAGCTGGCCGTGAAGAGCACCGGCCGGCCACCCTCGGACAGGTCAGCCCCGATATGGCCCCACCCTTGAGTTTCGGGAGTGTTTTCTGGCCAGAAGTTACGTCAAGTGCCGCTTTCTTCCACAGGACTGCCGTGAGTCCCCGGGCCCGGTACCACGAAACGGCACGCAGGGCAAAGGGCCAACCTCGATGACAGGGGTGACCAAACTGTGGATCGGGAGCCACGTGTGGCTCTTCACACATATTGTGCGGCTCCCGGAGGGGTGGCTGGGGAAGTAAAGGGGAGGCGTGCCTCCCTGATCGGTCCGGCTCGTTGCCCTTTGTGGGGCGGGGGGGGGGGGGGGGGGGGCAGAGAAAGAAAAAACTTTAAATTATTTCTTTTCATCATTCTCTCTCTCGCTTCCTCCCTGCTCATCTGCTTTTTTTGTTTAGAAGAAGAAGATAAGAGATTGGATTTATACCCCGCCCAAAGGTGTCTCAGAGCGGCTCACAATCTCCTTTCCCTTCCCCTCCCCACAACAGACTCTCTGTGAGGTGGGTGGGGCTGAAAGAGATCTTGACAGGAACTGCTCTTTTTCAAGGACAGCTCTTGTCAGAACTATGGCTTGCCCAAGGTCATCCAGCAGCTGCAAGTGGAGGAGTGGGGAATCAAACCCGGTTCTCCCAGATCAGGGTCCGAGCACTGAACCACTTCACTTAACTGCACACTTAACCACTACACCAAACTGTCTCACAAACTGGTTTCTGTTTCTCTCCCTCTCTCTTTCCACCTCTTTCATTCTTTCTTCTCTCTCTCTCTCTCAGACAAATAAATATCATTAGCGGACAAATAAATATCATTAGCAGACAAATAAATAAATATAAATATAATTATCAATACCTGTTCTTACCCCTTTTGTTTTTATTTTTGGCCATCTCGTTTCATGTCAACATAAAAGCAAATCTGCACATTTCCCAATAAAAACGTGCGTGTGATATCTGTTCCTGTCTTGCGGCTCTCAAACATCTGACGTTCATTCTATGTGGCTCTTGCGTGGAGCGAGTTTGCCCACCCAAGAAAGACTCTGCCAGGAGCTCGTCTACCAGCAGTTCCCGAAAGAACAGCCCTCTCTCGCCTGTCTAGTCCAGCATCTCCCGTCTCGCACAGGGGCCAACCAGTTGCCCTGAAAGGCCAACAGGACAGGGAGGCCAAGACCTTCCCCTGAGGTGATCTCCTGGCACTGGGATGAGAGGTTGACTGCCTCTGGACACGGAGGTTCCCCTTATTATGTATTTATTCATTCATTTTTGTGATGTATATCCCGCCCTGTCCTGAGAGCGGGCTCAGGGCGGCTTCCAATATGTCACAAAACCATAAGAAAGAGAGCAATTAAAACATGAATTAAAGCAAGGTTAAAATTAAATAAATAATTTAAAAGTACCTATACACAGTGGCAGCTCAGCAGTTAGTAGTTCCAGAGTACGTTGAGCTCATGCCAGGAGGGGCGGTAGAGCCATCTGATGGCACCTGGCACCAGTGGTTCCCTCTAAGTAGAGTTAGTGTGAGCTAGCTCACAGTTTGTTAGCCTCCAGCTCACACCTTTTTGTCTTCGCTCAGGAAGGATGGCTACAGAGTAAACTAACTGATGCAGCAGCCAAATTGCTCGCTCGCAACTTTAATGCCAGGAGCTCACAGAGTAGAATTTCTGCTCACGGCACTCCACAGCTTAGAGGGAATATTGCCTGGCACCCGAGAGCGCTTGAAGCAGGGGAGGCAGATGTTATTTGATGTTTGGTGTTATTTGAGGCTCTTAGCCACAAGGTATAGGTAGGAACTCTCAGTCTGGGGCAAGTGATGCACAGTATTCTTGGTGCTTGGGGGTGGGGGCAACAGTTGGAGGGCTTCTAGTATCCTGGCCCCACTGCTGGACCTCCTGATGGCACCTGGTATTTTTGGCCACTGTGGGACACAGAGTGCTGGACTGGATGGGCCATTGGCCTGATCCAACATTGGCTTCTCTTATGTTCTTATATGGAGCAGAGGTCCATCAGTGGCTATCAGCCACAAGGTACAGATATGAACTCTCAGTCTGGGGCAAGGGATGCTCTGTATTCTCGGTGCTTGGGGAAGGGGGGCAACAGTGGGAGGGCTTCTAGCTATGCTCCCTCTAAGCTGTGGAGTCTCGTGAGTAAAAATTCTACTTTGTGAGCTACTGGTGATAAAGTTGTGAGCGAGCAAGTTGGTCACTGCATAAATCAGTTTGCTCTGGAGCCCTCCTTCCTGAGCAAAGGTGAAAATGTGTGAGCCAGAGGCTAAAAAAACTGTGAGCTAGCTCATATTAACTCAGCTTAGGGGGAACACTGGCTTCTGGTGTCCTGGCCCCACTGCTGGACCTCCTGAGGGCACCTGGTCTTTCTGGCCACTGTGTGACACAGAGTGTTGGACTGGATGGGCCGTTGGCCGGACCCAACATGGGCTTCTCTCATGTTCTTATGATGTCCGCTCCCTCAACCAAAGGCCTGGCGGAACAGCTCCGCTTTACAGGCCCTACATAACTGTAACAAATCCCGCAGGGCCCTGTTCCAAGTGGGAGCCTGTTCCGCCAGGCGGGGGCCAGGGCTGAGAAGGCCCCGGCCCCGGTTGAGGCAAGGTGGACATCTTTTGGGACGGGGACTACTAGACGGTGCTGATCTAAGGAAGGAAAGGCCCTTCGGGGCACATACGGGGAGAGGCGGTCCCGTAGGCAGTCACCATGGCTAGTAGCCACCCCAGCCTACCACTCAACCTTGGTCAAACGCAGGCCCGCCGTCCAGCCAGACGCACCTCCTTCACGCGCTCAAGCGGTGAGACAGGACGCGCTCCGGGCCTCTCACCTGCTCTATGTTCCGCCCCTTCTTCTTCATCGCCTTCAGGACATTCTCGCAGGAGTAGCCCATGTTGACGACAGTCTCGACGCACTGCCGCTCGCTGGGGGAAAGGGCCTGCAGGTCTTCTTCGTACGTGGGGCTGCCAGGCCAGTTTGCACAGCTGGTGGCGTGGGGCACTTTCGATGTCGAGAAACTTTGGTGAGGTGCCTGGAAGGGGGGGGGAGAGAGAAGGTGGAACGCACAACCTCAGTGGGACCAGGTCCAGGGGTCCCGAACCGCTTTGAGCCTGTGGGCGCCTCTGGGATTCGGAGAAGGGGTGAGGAGCGCTGCCCCGGGAGAGAGCGCCACACCCAAAATGGCCGCTGCAGCAGGAGGCGGAGCCACATGGAACACCTCCCTGCTCACACATGGAACACCTTCCCTCCTGGGAAGAAAGAACGCCCGAAGGGAGAATGGAATCACACAGAGATTAAGGAAATCCCGGTTGTTTGGCAATCCTCCGCTGAAAAATCCCTTTTATTCCAATGGGAACAAAAATCCTTTTCGTTTCAACGAGTTCACTGGATCACGGGAATGCCACCAACGTTATTTACCTGGATTTCAATAAAAGTTTTGACAGGATTCCCCACGATGTTCTAATGGGTGAACTGGAGACTTGCGGACTGGGACTCTAGGACAGTCAGGTGGACAGGGGACTGGTTGGAGATCCGCACCCAAGGAGTAGTTGTCAATAGAGATGTGAAGGCCCGGGGGGAAAAATGGAAAAATTCGGGGGGAAAAAACGGAAAAATTTGGGGGGGAAACGGTTTTTTTCAGTTTTTTCCTGAAGCCTTTTTGGGTTTTTTCCGAAAAATTGAAAAAAGAAAAAAATTGATTATGGAACATTTTATTTTAACATGATGAATAAAATATTTTAAATCAAGGTGTTCAAATATTTCCAAATCATTTCTAAAAAAAATATGTATGGTATCAGATTGATCTAATTTCTGTGCACTGAGGACAAGCAAGTCCTAGGTTACAAACTGAACTCTCCAATGCAAGAACAAGATGCATTTCTTCCTTTAGGAGGTGCTGTTGTCACAAGAAAAGAAAAAGGTTTCAGTTTTGTTTTTGCATGTGGGTGGGTATTCTGTTTGTAATAATTGTTTGGATACACTATATTTTTAATATGCTAGTTGTGATAATTTCACGCCATGTAAAAATGTCCATAGTCATATTTTATGTCCCTAAAGTAACAGAATGACTTTCAATCTGGAAAAGGAAAAAGAAGTGCTAATGTAGCATTGTTTTCAATTTTTCCGAAAATTTCCGTTTCCCCCAGGAAAAAAACGTTTTTTTTCCGAGTTTCAAAATTTCCGGAAATTTTACATCTCTAGTTGTCAATGGCATTTCAATGGATGGGGGGGGGGGGGGCTGTCCAGGGGGGGGGCACAGGGCTCGGTTCTGGGCCTGGTACTTTTCAATATTTTTATCAGTGGCCTGAATGAGGGGGTGGAGGGGCTACTCATCAAATTTGCAGACGACACCAAATTGGGAGGAGCAGCGAACACACCAAACGATATAGAATTCAACAAGATCTGAACGCACTGGGAAAGTGGGTGGATGAGAGCAAGAGGCAATTTAACTAGGATAAGTACAGAGTTCTACATCTGGGTAACAAAAATCGCAAGCATCCATTCTGGATACAGGACACACTTCTGGGTTGCAAGCAATGTTCCCTCTAAGCTTTGGAGTCTTGTGAGCAAAAATTCTACTTTGTGAGCTGCTGGCATTGAAGTTGCAAGCGAGTGATTTGGCTACTGCATAAATTAGTTTGCTCTGGAGCCCTCCTTCCTGAGCGGAGACAAAAATGTGTGAGCCGGAGGCTAAAAAACTATGAACTAGCTCACACTAACTCAGCTTAGAGGGAACACTGGTTGCAAGGCATGTGAACGAGATCTTGGGGTACCGGTGGACTGTAAGCTAAATATGCGCAGCCAGTGTGCTGCAGCGGCAAAAAAGGCTAATGCGGTCTTGAACAGAGGCACAACATCCCAGTCGCAAGATGTCATGGTCCCACTGTACACTGCACTGGTCAGGCCGCACTTGGAGTCTTGTGTGCAGTTCTGGAGGCCTCACTTCGAAAAGGATGTGGACAGAATGGAGCGGATGCCGAGGAAAGCGACAAGGATGATCAGGGGCCTGGAGACCAAGAGCCCCTCCGAGGAAAGGCAGAGGGACTTGGGAATGTTCAGTCTGGAGGAGGTGGGGGGGGGGGAGGACTGCTCTCTTGAAGCATCTGAAGGGCTGTCCCTTAGAGGAGGGCACGGAGCTGTTCCTGTTGGCAGCAGAGAATAGGACTCGAAATAATGGGTTTAAATTATGGGTGGAAAGATATCGACTGTACATTAGAAAAAAAATTACTGTAAGAGTAGTTCAGCAGTGGAATCAAGCAGAGGCTCTTAAATGATGCCGTTCACCTCGCCCCCGAGACGACACGTACAGACATTGTCTGCTTTCCTGCAGCGAGGTCTCCCCGCAAGCAGAAAATGAGTTAAGACTGAAGTAGAATTTCTTCCCCCAATGTTGTTTAAAAAACAAACAAACTTGCAGTGAGTGACTCCCCCTACACAAAAGCCATTTGAAGATCTGAATCCCACTCCTGCTCGCTGAAGCGGAACCACCCGTCCTACTGAATCTTCACTATAAGACCCCGGCTCATTACAAAGCTCTTTCCCTAAGCTCATTCATCCGGATGACTACTCTGATTCGAAGGTAATCCATACTCCCATTTCATAGGTGGAGAAAAGGACTAATTCCAGTAGGGTAGCCGTGCTAGTCTGCAGAGGAAGAGCCCAATTCCAGTCCAGTAGCACTTCCAAAGGCCAACAAGGTTTTCAGGGTATATGCTCAGGGGAGTCAATGCCCCCTTCGTTAGGCCTGGGGGATAGAGCAGTGAATCACAGAATCACAGCGTGGGAAGGGACCTCCAGGGCCATCTGGTCCAACCCCCTGCACAAGGCTATTCTACAGTGCAGGGGCCACCACCAAAAAGGCACTTGTAACTTTCTTCCCACCATAGAGAACAATGGAGGGGATGGGGGCAACCTGTTTGAGGGCCCGTAGAATTGGACCCCCTGGTCCAATGTTCTTGAAACTTGGTGGATATCTTGGGGAGAGGCTCCAGCAGATACCCTGCGAGTTTGGAGTCTCTCCCTCCAACCCCTCCCCTCCAACCCCCAGATATACCCTACTTTTCGCCATTGACTTCAATGCCCCATGGGATATAAGGGGGCCGAAACTGACATTCAACTGGCCAAAAGACTCCCAAATGTGCTCCAACTGCCAAAATTGACATGCAGGAGTCTTTTTGCCAGCAGAAATTGATTCTGCCGAATCCGAATCGGGCCGATTTTTTTTTTTTTTTTTTTGCGCACCACTATGGAAGACTCTTCAAGGCTTCCAACTTGGCTGCCTCATTTTAAAGGCTCCCCCCCCCAAAGACAATCGCAGAGTTGGAAGGTGTCAGATTGCCTCGACACGCGAGTGCAATCCACGAGACAGGAAGAGTCAACATGCCAGAGATTCAGAACCGGAGGGAAAAGAACCGGGTCCCATGAGAAAGTCAATCCCCCCTAAAGAGGATTTCCAACGAGAGGCAGGCAAGGCTCGAGGGAGAGCTTAGGCGGAAGGCAGGTGCCAGCTGGCTCCATTACAGGGAAAGCAGCTAAGCGGCCAGAGACTCTCAGATCGAGGAGTCGTTCCTCGGAAGAGGGGCCCAGCGTGCCCTGGAAGTTATTTTTACCATAGAGTTAAGCCTAATCCACACAGACACAGAACCAGGATAATCTCTGCAGAGAAATCCACCCTCTACCCTCTGCAAACGGCTCCGAGCCAGGGTCCCGTCATCGCTCCTTGAGACGGAGGAATACAACAAGCACCAGTCGGCGTTGCAGCCCCCTCGATGTTTCCTAAGCAGGCTGGCCAAAACCTGCTCCATCGGGAAAGCCAGCGAACCTCACTAGCCAGTTCTGCAAGCGGCAGATCTGTTCCAGAAAGGGTGGGACAACTCCTTCACGGCAAGCCTTCCCCCCACACACGGGGATTTCTTGGCACCTGGGGAAAGCCCGTTGGCTCATTCTTTATTACGATCATTTGACCAACCACGGAAAGCTCACCGAATCAGAGAAAAGCGCCACCCTTAGCAGGATGGATCCACAGAACCCAACCAGCATCGGCAACAGGACTGCTGCAGCGGGGGTCCCCAAGGCGGTGCCTGTGGGCATCGTGGAGACCCCCCCCCCCAACACCTTTCCTGGCGCCCACCAAGAAAATATTTTAGATCAGTGGTATGTTCATTTTTAAAAAAAAAAAAAAAAAAGCATCTTGTTAAGTAAAGCTTCTGCCAGAAATGCTGAAGAAGCACTATTAAGAGTTACACATAACCTCACTCCCTTCCATTTTCTGGTCAGCTCTTTTGTAGCTGACTCAGACTTCCTGCAGCAGCTATGCTGCAAATGTGCCCACCACCCTGTCTCAAAATTCTAGAATTCCACAGGTTGGAGATCCCCGAACTGCAGGGATGCAAAAAACGGGCTGAGGTCGCTTTGAGGGTAAGAAGGGGTGTTGGTGGCTCAGTGGTTAAGACGCTGAACTGCAGACCGGAAGGTCGGTAGTTTGGCAGTTCAAGACCCGAGTGCCGCATGACGGAGTGAGCTCCCGTCTCCGGCCCCAGCTCCTGCCAACCTAGCCGTTCAAAAGCAAGAAATTGCAAGGAGATAAACAGGTACCGCTTTGGTGGGAAGGTAACAGCGTTCCGTGCGCCTCGACGTCTAGTCATGCCGGCCACATGACCAAGGAAACGTCTTTGGACAGCGCTGGTTCTTTGGCTTGGAAACGGGGATGAGCACCGCAACCCTAGAGTCGGACTCGACTGGCTTTCGAGCAAGGGAAACCTTTAGGGATGTTGGTGGGTCAGCCTACGGCATTCATTCCACCCGTGAAGCGAGCCGCGTTGCAGACCGCATGACCCTCGGTGTCCGGATAGCAGCTCTTGTTGCAAGACGACAACCTCCCCTGGAACCTCAACAGCAACAAAAGGGCAACTGCACGACCCTCCCCTTGAATAGCCACTGCCCGATCCAATACTTTCCCACCCTCCCCTTGGAGTGCCAAACGGAAGTCTTTTAGCCCGCGCAGCACTTACCACTGTGGCTGTGGTGAGGGTCTGCGTCTCTTCTGTACAGGCTACTGAGGTGGGCAGGGAAGGCAGTCTGGACACTGAGGACAGAGTCTGTGTCTCCGGGCCACTGTCCACGGTGAGCTCGGACAGCCCAGCCACGTGGTGCCCGTTCAGTTCGCTGGCTTTGCTCGGCAAAGTGTGGAGGAAGGTGCCGTTGCGGAGGCAGCCGGCGCTGTGGTACGTGCTCGTGAGCTTCGCCGCCTGCAGGTCGCTCTCATCTAAGTCGAGCTTCGGGAAGGAGAGGGATTTGATATTGCTCACGGACGTCGCCGGGGAGAGGGACACTTTGGAAGACGGCGACCTCTTTTCCCGGCCCCCCAGCTGCGGCAACGCGATCAGGCCGTTGGGTTTGTGGAGGGGCTTGAGGTCCAGCGTGGCCGGGACTTCCTGGTCTGGCGCTACGGACTCGGGAGACGCCGCTTTGGGGGTGCCGCTGCCGCCACCGTCCAGGAGCTGGGCCACGATTGGGCCCGTCATGCCGACGTGGATCTCCAGGATGTTCCTCAGCTCCTCCCTGTCGTCGAGCGTCTTCAACTCCAGCTTGTCGAAGGGGTCTTCCTCGCACTCGAAGTCCGCCGGGTTGAAGTCGGCCTTGGGGTGGGGCGGGCTGAGGGCCTTCTGCTTCAGGGTGCTGTTGCTGGCCGGGGTCGGGGTCAGGATGTAGTTGTGCTGCAGGCTGGCGAGGATGGGGTTGAAGGGGGGCGGCATGACGGCCCCGGGGCAGCGGCCTTCTGCAAAGCCGGCCTGGCCCTGCTCCCCCAGGGCCTCTTCCTCCTCCGCCTTCCGCTCGGCCTCTTGCTGGGCTGCCTGGATCCTCTTGATGTTCTCCGCCCACTCGATGGTCCTCCTTTCCAGGGAGAAGTCATACTGCAAGAGAGAGAAAGGCACAGGATAGCGACACCGCCCTCTCTGGGCAACCAGGATGGCGAGAGGGTTGGAATCCAAGTCTTACGAGGGAAGACTGAAGGAGTTGGGGATGTCTAGCCTGGGAAAGAGAAGGCTTAGAGGGGAGATTATTGCAGTCTTCAAGTATCTGAAGGGCTGCCATGTAGAAGATGGAGCAGATCTATTCTCTCTCGCTCCGGATTGCGAGACTAGATCTAATGGGTGGAAATGACAAGGGAGTCGATACTGGCTGAATATCAGGAGAAACTTCCTAACTGTAAGAGTGGTTGAGCAGTGGAACAGACAGCCTCGGGAGGTGGTGGAGGCTCCTTTGCTGGACGTTTTCAAGCGGAGGCTGGACATCTTTCGGGTATGTTGTAGGGCTATCTTTCGGCTATGCTCCTGCAGAGTGCTGGGGGGTTGGACTAGATGACCTGCAAGGTCCCTTGCAACTCTAACATACTATGATTCTATACACGGTACATAATGCTGCTGTACAGTCAGACCAAAAGCGTTCAGGGGGGAGTCCCGGCTGTTCAGTCCGAAGCAACATCCCCTGTGGTGCTATGTAAGGAAATCATTCAGACCGGAAAGCAATAAGCTTTAGTGGACAGACAGCTGTAATTCTATTCTAAGGGACCCCAAAGTAGCCAATAATCCAGCCGAATCAGTGCGGGAGTGGCCACATCTAAGATAATTTCTTCACAGATGGCAAGTCAGCCGTCTGATAATGGCCTTCAGTGCAAGCTCCACCAAATTTCTTGAGACTTCCTTTTCCCCCCCTCAAAAACAATTTATTAGGATATAATAAAAAATCAAACATATATCAAAACATATTATTATACATCCTTTCCTCCTCTTCCCCCCCCTTTTCGGCTTCTCACAGTGCTCCAACCTCCACCTCAATTCTTACATTCTCTTCATACCTCCCTTTCTCATTATTCACATCTATAGGTAACTTATCTTTCAACTATTATTCTTATACATTTATCTATTTTTCAGCTACCCTTCACTTTTCAATAATTATCAAAGCATAACAGATTGTCCTTTACATCCCAGTATTTCTCCACATATTCTTTTAAGTCTTTCCAGTCTGCAAAAAAATTCTTCTGCTTCCAAATTATTCAGTTTCCTTGTCATTTTATCCATTTCTACATTTCTGGAGACTTCCTTACTGGTTAAGTGAGCGTGCCAGGTTGGCGGTTACCACCACTCATGAACCGCAGGTTAAGACTCACCTGGGTTTCCCGTACAAGCTGCGGTGAGTCCGGTAAGCAGAAGCCGATGGGCAGGCCGACTTTAGCCGGGGCTTTAAACTTGTCTCCTATCTTGAACGGGACATCGTCGAGGTAACTGAAGAGCCCTAATGGGAGGAGCAAAACATACGTGAGCGGCTGCACTTTCACCTGTCCATACGAGACACCTTTGGCCAGCTGTAGCCAAGACTGGAAGCAAAACAATGCAAAAAAGTCCTAGACTCTGCTGCTATCTGTTCTCACACATCAACAGGAATGATTCAGGTGGGGGTAGCCATGCAGGCCTGAAGCTTGAGTCCAGTGGCATCTTTAAGACCAACAAAGTCTAATTCTGGGTAGAAGCTTTGTTGGTCTTAAAGGGGCCTGTCAGACTCCCAGTCTAGTTATACTCAACAACTCTCTTTTCGCAGTGAAAAGTTTATTGAGTTATATGCAAGATCCAGAAAGTCACTGTGTTAGAACTGAAGACTTTTGGCGGGTACAAGCTTACCAAGCATATGTCACACACATATCCTTGAAATGTGTGAGGGGTGACATGATCAAGGTTTACAAGATTACGCATGGGATAGAGCAGGTAGAGAAAGAAGTACTTTTCTCCCTTTCTCACAATACAAGAACTCGTGGGCACTCCATGAAATTGCTGAGCGGTCGGGTTAGAACGGATAAAAGGAAGTCCTTCTTCACCCAAAGAGTGATTGACACATGGAATTCACTGCCACAGGAAGTGGTGGCGGCTACAAGCACGGACGGCTTCAAAAGGGAATTAGATAAGCATATGGAGCAGAGGTCCATCAGTTGCTATTAGCCACAAGGTATAGATAGGGACTCTCGGTCTGGGGCAAGGGATGCTCTATATCCTTGGTGCCTGGGGGGAAGGGGCAACAGTGGGAGGGCTTCTAGTGTCCTGGCATGACTGGTGGACCTCCTGATGGCCCCTGGTATTTTTGGCCACTGTGTGACACAGAGTGCTGGACTGGATGGGCCACTGGGCTCATCCAACATTGGCTTCTCTTATGTTCTTATATGGAGCAGAAGTCCATCAGTGGCTATGAGCCACAAGGTATGGATAGGAACTCTCAGGCTGGGGCAAGTGATGTTCTGTATTCTTGGTGCGTGGGTTGGGGGGCAACAGTGGGAGGGCTTCTAGTGTCCTGGCCCCACTGCTGGACCTCCTGATGGCCCCTGGTATTTTTGGCCACTGTGTGACCCAGAGTGTTGGACTGGATGGGCCACTCTTGGCTTCTCTTATGTTCTTATGTTCTTACATACCCTGCCTAATATTGCTATGCCAACCAGGAGAGATCTATGTCCTGGTAATCTAGAGTCCGAGATGGCACAGGAATGTGTTCAAGGCCACCTCCCCCTGGGAAAGCGAAAGAGGAAGGGAAGGGGGAGGACTTGTGGGAAAGTGACATCTTCTAGAAGCAAAGGTCTCCAGCACTCCCCTCATACACTCACCCCCACCCTCGGGAATGCCCTCCCCCCCCCAAAGCTATGGCAACCCAAACAGAGTTTGACAGGGCCACTGGACTCAAACTTTGCTCTGTCAATAGGAATTGTGAGTCTTCACAGGAATGCACCAAGAAAGCGAGTCTCCTGTATATCTGGCTTGCATGGCCTGCATACATGCCCATAAGAGGCAGGGAGAGCAGGAGGCACAGACAGGGCTGACCCCTCAGACGTAGCCCTCCCCCGTCCTTGAGAGCCAGTTTGGTGTCGTGGTTGAGTGCGCGGACTCTAATCTGGGAGAACCGGGTTTGATTCCCCACTCCTCCTCCACTTGCACCTGGCTGGATGACCTTGGGCAAGCCGCAGTTCTGATAAGAGCTGTTCTTGAAAAAGAGCACTTTCTGTCAGAGCTCTCTCAGCCCCACCGACCTCACAGGGTGTCTGTTGTGGGGAGGGGAAAGGAGTTTGTAAGCCGCTCTGAGACACCTTTGGGTAGTGAAGGGCGGGGGATAAATCCAATCTCCTCCTCCTCCTCCTCCGTCCCTTAGCTACTCGTGAAAAGTGTTACAGACAATGCTATGGGCTTTCCACAGAAAAAATCTGAACCGGAAAATCTTCTGACTCAAATTTAAATTAAAAATCTAAACACAATTAGCAAAATTTAAATAATATTAGCAAAAGGCAGCAAACCACCATGCGTATAAGGCTGGACCACATACAACTACTGGGGTTTGTCCCGGCCTCATACCTCACACTTGGCCCGTCTAACGTGACGGATTTGCAGCACTCGTGCCCTGACAGCTATACATAAACAGAGATTATATTTACGTTGTAGGTGGGAAATCTCCACAGGAAAAAATTGCACTGGGAAATTTTCCGCACCATGTCACTGATTACAGATTGGCAGTGCGAGATTCGTCATTTAAAAAAGACTGCTTCACAACACGGTGTAACGGGTAAAAAGAACCAAATGCTGGTACCTTAACGGCAAACCTTTTGTTCCTTTTTTTTGCCATCAAGTCAAAGCCGACTCATGGCAGCCCTGTAGACTTTTTAAGGCAAAAAACCTTCAGGGGTAATCTGCCATTGCCTGCGACGTTAACCTACTTCCATGTTTTTCTGGGAGCATGAGAGTTCTGTGACAGGAAGCCAAGAGGGTCTTGACCTGATCAGTGCATGGAAGAAAAACTGCCGGGGACCAGTGACTTTGAAATGGACTTTCAGGAATGGTGACCCCGGGGGCTCCAAAGCAGAACACAGTCCCACCGGCAAACTGAAGTCCTAGCCCTTCCTTCGACACCCGTAACAGTGAAAATGCATCTGCCGCTGTGCTCTGGAACGCTAACAAACGCCAGATTAACGCGCCGGGGCAAACGAAAGTGAGAACAAAAGGCTTTTCAGTCCTCACTGGCGTGCTATCAGCTTAAACTATTCAAACCCGGTATTGAGCACAGGGCTTGATGAGGGGAGGGAGAGTTTTCGGCTTCCTCATCAGGCATTTTCCTGAACATTCCCAAAAGAATGGGCGTTCTGTTTAAGAACGAGGGGTCACCTTTCCCCCTCAGGGAATGGACAGTTCGGTAAATGATAGCGCAGGGCCAAACTGACGAGGCTTCCAAATTTTATGCCTACAAAAAAACACCAAACAGGATTGGGCCAAATGTATTCAATCTGGACCCCTTCCGTTGTTTTTCGGATGCAAAAATACAGTCAGAGCAACCAGAAGCAATCTTGGGCTCGGACCTCCAGAAGAAGGAGGAGGAGGAGGAGGAGATTGGATTTATATCCCCCACCCTTCACTCGGAGTCTCAGAGTGGCTTACAAACTCCTTTCCCTTCCCCTCCCCACAACAGACACCCTGTGAGGTAAGCGGGGCTGAGAGAGCTCTGACAGAAACAGCTCTTTTTCAAGAACAGCTCTGACAGAACTATGGCTTGCCCAAGGTCATCCAGCAGGTGCAAGAGGAGGAGTGGGGAATCAAAGCCGGTTCTCCCAGATTAGGGTCCACCCACTTAACCACAACACCAAACTGGCTCTCAGGTCAGAAATAACTGCTACCTGGAGAAAGTTCTGCCTGGGAGGGACTGGCTACAAAAAAATACAATCACATCAGTGGTCATGTCACAAAGCACAGGCAGCATTTAGAACAGGGGTGGCCACACTCGCTCACTGTAAGAGCCGCACAGAATAAACGTCAGATATTTGAGAGCCGCAAGACATGAACAAGTATCACACATACGTTTTTATTTTAAAATATGCAACTTTTGCTTTTTCTTAACATTCAATGAGACTGCCAAAAAAACCCGACAAAAGGGATAAAGACACTGATCGTGATATTTATTTGCCCAATGATATTTATTAGTTTGCTAATATTTATTTGTCTAAGAGAGAAAGAAAAAGAGAGAGAGAAGTGGAAAGAAAGAATGAAAGAGGTGGAAAGAAAGAAGAGGAAAGAAAGAGAGAGAGAAACAAAGAAAGCAAATAGATGGGAAAGAGGGAGGGAGGGAGGGAAGGTACACCTCCCCTTAGCTTCCCCAGCCGCCGTGCCGGGAGCAGCATATATTCATTACACGCAATATCAACAATAATAATCAGTTTGTACAATCTAATAGCTACCAGTCAATTTACATCCTTTTTACACAATCAACCCCAATGAGTTTCTAGAATTGTACACCTGCTTCTCCTTGCCTTGAGAAAGACAGGAGCGCTCTTGTCTATGATTGTCAGCTGCTTAATGGGCCTTTTGTAGGACCAGCAACAAACATCAATTTAAACTTCAATGTAACCACAAAAGGAAACTTCCCCCTTTAGAAGACTTTCAAGCAAGGAGAAGCAGGTGTACAATTCTAGAAACTCCCGTTGGGGTTGATTGTGTAAAAAGGATGTAAATTGACTGGTATTAGATTGTACAAACTGATTATCATTGTTGATATTGCCTGTAATGAATATATACCTGTTTTTGAATATTATGAATAATACACAATGCACTTTATAAGATGGAACATACAGAACACTTTAACTTATAAATAAGGTTTTTGCAGTGTATATATTTGTTTTTGACTCTTCTAACACTGCAGCTCGAGTTTCCACATCCCTGATTTAGAAGGTAAGTGACACACGGGTGACGGAAGACACCAAGCAAGAGCATGTGAACGTACTCAATATGGCATCCTCTTTTAGGTTCACACAAACCTTCAAGCCCTGACCACAGTCTGGTCACCACAGAACTAAAGCTTCGGCCTGCCCAGGGAAACTGGCCTCTGACCAACTCAGCTGTAGCCAGGCCGCCGGGCAGAAGCCAGGATTTTCAGGCAAATGGTTTTGGAAGAAGACGGCACCGACTTAGAGGCTCAAACGAGCCACTTCCTTGCAGTCTCAAATCCTGACTTGCGGATTCTGTGAATCTCCTCTTTTGCCGACAATGGAAGAATCTGCCTAGTCCTCTACAAAAGACTCCCTCCGCTACACTACCGAGATTTGTACGAGTGCCTTAGAGAACAACAGGATTTCCAAGACATAAGCTTTGAAGAATCAAAGCTCCTTCGAGTCTTAGCTCTAAACATGAGCCTGCAGTGCAATGTGGCTGTGAAGAAAGCTAATGCAATCTTGGGATGCATCAACAGAAGCCTTGTGTCCAGATCACGGGAGGTGGTCGTTCCACTCTATTCTGCTATGGTCAGGCCTCATCTGGAGTCCTGTGTCCAGTTTTGGGCACCACATTTTAGGAAGGATGCTGACAAGCTCGAGCGTGTCCAGAAGAGGGC